CTTCAATTTTTCAATTTTTCAATAATTTTTCAATTTTTCAATTTTTCAATTTTTCAATTTTTCAATTTTTCAATTTTTCAATTTTTCAGTTCTTCAATTTTTCAATTTTTCAATTTTCCACTTGGATAAATTTTCAGTTCAATTTTTCAATTCTTCAATTCTTCAATTTTCCACTTGGATAAATTTTCAGTTCTTCAGTTCTTCAATTCTTCAATTCTTCAATTCTTCAATTCTTCAATTCTTCAATTCTTCAATTATTCAATTCTCCAATTTTTTAATTTTACAGTTATTCAATTCATCAATTTTTTACTTTTAAAATTATTCAATTCTTCACTTTCTTAACTTTAGAATTACTGAATTATTCAATTCTTCAACTTTTTAATTTTTCCACTTTCCAATTTTTCAATTTAAAAATTGACAACTTCTCAACTCCTTTAGTTATTCAAATTTTCATATTCTCCAGTCCCCAGACAATTAAACACTTCAAAAATTCTTCAATTTCTCAATTCGTCAAGTTCAAAGACTCCAAGTATTCAATTATCAAAATTCTCAGATTTCTTTGACCATCGTCGCTGAACGTCTACACAGATCGAAAGTTTTCTTAAGAAGTATCTCTCGTAAGAAGCTTATGTGTCCGTTTCCGGAAACGTGGGTCAAGTAACCAAGTCGCAGTTCAATTCGCCCATGTATCTTGCTAACTCCGTTCCAGTAAACTCAGTTTCGTCGAAATCCTGTAAACTGGAGTTGCTGATGGTGTTCGCACTTTCGATACTTGGGTGACTCTGAAACCGCGGTTGCTGCTCGGTCGTCACTTCCGGTTTCGACAAGGGGATGGTTGGCACCTTTTGCTGGTGCGAGAACAGTCCTTTGGTTCCTAGTCGCAATCGTTCCGCTATTATTCCTGTTGAAATTCAGAAGTTTGGAAATACGGAAAATTTAGAAATTTAGAAAATGTCAAACTTGAGGAAAAAATTTTGGAATAGAGAAATTTTATGATTTTTAAATTATAGGTTTATATATTTTTAGGTTGATGAACTTAAAATGTCTTGAATTGAGGAACTTGGAAATTATTAAGTTGAGGTATTTGGAAATTTTGAAATGAAGGAAATTAAAAATTTTTAAATTAAGGAAATTTTGAATTTGATGGATTTAGAAATTCTTAAACTGCAAAATAGTAAAATAGTGCAAAATTGTAAAATTGCACAAAATTATAATTTTGAGAATTCTCAAATTTTAAATTATAAAGCTCCCATATTACAATCTTAAAAATTTCCAAATTTTAGTCTTGAGAATTCCCAAAATTATAAGCTTGAGAGTTCTCAAATTACGAACAATAAAACTCCCATATTACAATCTTGAGAATTTCCAAATTTTGGTCTTAGGAATTCCCAAAATTATAAGCTTGAGAATTCTCAAATTATAAATTATAAAGCTCCCATATTACAATCTTGAGAATTTCCAAATTTTAGTCTTAGGAATTCCCAAAATCATAAACTTGAGAATTCACAAATTATAACCTATAAAACTCCCACGTTACAATCTTAAAAATTTCCAAATTGTAATCTCAAAAATGTCCAAATCAGCTAAAAAATTCTCAACCTCCAAAAACGTTTCAATACACTAAAACAAGTAATAAAAAATTAATTTTACCAATAGTGACAGCCCTAGGTGGAGACTGCATCTTCAGGAAGCACTCGTTCACGCACGCGGCCGCCATGTTGTTGTTTCCTTCGTTAAAACTTCTGCTGATCGAAGTCATCAAGGTCAATTGGCTGGAATTCGATCCTCTGGAGGCGCTTCTACCGTATTCCCTGTGATTATTTATTCTGTTGATTTTCGAGGTCGATCGATTATCTTGGCTCCTTCGTTCTAATCCATTCAGATCGTTCGAGTTCGTTGGACGTTGAACATTCGCCGTCAGCTTTTGGTTCTCGTCGCTGACGGATATTGATGGCGAATTTTGACGATCGTCCGCCTGCCTCGTTGTGGACCTTGGATACTTTGACAGGCTGCTGTAAGTCGGCTGTCGAGGGATTGACTTCCGCGAGGACCACTTCCGCCCGCAGTGATTCGACAACATTGACTGAAAGTTAACTTTACTTTGGTTAACGCACTCTGTTCTTTTCGTAACTTATACTTTTTTATTATACTTACAGTTTTTCTTTCATTCACTTTTATTTCAGTTTTGTTCTTTTTTGCTTTGCTTTATTTTTATTGTAATGAAATTGTCTAACATATTATCTCTTTTTATTTGGTTAATTGAAAGTTTATAATCATAATTCTAAAGCATTTCAAGTTTGAAGAATTTTGATTTGACTTCTTAATTCTTAATTAAGAATTTTGATTTTTTAGTAAGCGTTCATAAGATCACTTGTTGGATGTTATTTTACTTGTTCATATATTGTATATGTTGTATAAGTTACAATATGTATTTTCTTCAATATATGAAGATTAAATAAATTGTTCATAAACAACAGAATATAATTTGTACTAATATGTGAATATTTTACCATTAATGTCTTAGAACGTATATCACAATACGTACTTCATTTTATGAACAAATTAAAAAAATATATACATACAAGTTCAAGCACATATTATTGTATTTATACAACACACAACTCATCATCAATCTACTATAATTATATCACATATTACAACACGTATTTTATAAAAAATTATTAAATCGTTCATATGACTGTATACATGAATTTTGTATTTCTTATACAAACATCTTACTCTCTAATTAACTGAATACTGATAGAATCTTAGCTCAACACGGAAGATATGAATTCCTTGAACGTGCAAGAACATGAAAGTTTAATGAAGAATTCTCAAGTGATAACTCACCTTGAAGGCTTCTCTAAATTTGTTGGACATGATGTTGTACAGCAACGGATTGACCGTCGTGGAAAGGTAATAAAACACCCCTGACACGTATGTGAGGATAGTGTAGACTATTACGACGACGTCTTCCGGTTCCCCGTTTGTATTCTGCGCGTAGACAGCCAACAACCTTTGGGCGTGGAACGGCGCCCAGCAAATGAAAAATGCCACTACCACTGCAACTGAAAAGACAACGTTCCGTTCTATACGCATAGAAACACATTGTGATCGATAAACGAGACCTCAATTCAATAATATCTAAACTAACTTTTAAATTCAACCTCGTAGCAGCGTATTACGACAATTTTGCAAACTGTACATTCCGTAAAAACCGTGATAATCGTAAAAAAACAGTCTCGTAATAAGAAAAAGAAACCTGTTGTACGTAAGAAACAAGCATAACTGAAATACGTAAGCCATAATTCCTTCCATATGAAATATTTGGTTTAAGTCGAACATTATTGCCATTTTTCTACCGCTCATTTTGACGTTGATTTATTCCGAGGACAAAAGAAAAAACAACTTTGTAAGGAATAACAAAAAATGATAGGTGCGAATAATTATCCGAAAAAGATATACGGCTATTTCTAAATTCGTTTGTATATTCTTTTCATTTTATTTAGACACCGTACATGAATATGCAACGAGACGTTCACTGACGACCGGGAAAGATTATTCGGATGAATTTGGTTTTTTAAAAGATGTACGACGTCTTCCTATTTATAGATTGCCTGTTCGATAATTAAATGCTATTCAATAAATAAGAATTCACTGACCACGCGTGGTAATTCAACGCGTGGTAATTCGATGCGTGGTAATTCGACGCGTAGTAATTCGACGCGTGGTAATTCG